CAGATAGACATTCCTTTGGCAGTCTGCTTTTTGCCAAGATCTGTCTGACACCGGCAATAATAAACTTAGAGCCAGGAGACTGAGGTACCTGTGTGCATATTTTGAGAGCTGTCTTGACTGCATTTTGTTACTAATCCAAATTAAAACCTTTTATCTCCTTCATTATGGTTCTGTCTGGTCTGTGAAATATCACATTGGATTTTGGACCCAGCCAAGCAGAAAGATTGGTGTTGAGACGCACAGGAGGAAGTCTGGGAGTGTCAGGGACATGTCTGACCTCATGGGAATTGGTTTTGTGTTATTGATGCTGTGGGTGGGGATAATTTCCTCCTGTAAAGTTTGTAAAGGTCAGATAAGGTGCTCCTCACATGGCCCTTGCTCTTTTGGCATAAGTTAATGAAAATGATGTGGCTATAAATTTTTGTATTGCTTTTTTATAATTTCCCAGGGTGGGGGGAAGCATGGTAACCTAAAAATGCAAAATTACATTTTAGCCAAATATACATATCCAAACTATGTTCTTTTTTATGGAATATTTATCTCATTACACATTTAACTCATAATTTTGGGGTGGAATTAGGGAGGTAAAACTTGATATATAATTTTGACTATAAAAATTTTTACAATTTCTTTCCTTACTAACACTTTAGGATTTAAATGAATTACCCGAGTCAGTCCTACACTGTATTAACATCATAAAGAATAAGAGTAAGACAGCTGAAGAGCTCATTCTTCAAGACTTGGAAGATAATGATGTATTAAGTAAGTATAGTTTCCATCACTTGGCAAATAACTTTCCTGTAGTGATATGTACATTATTCTTTAGAGAATGGAATTACTTAAATGCCTTGTCTCTTTGTGTGTAGATGTATATGCTTTATGCTAAGATAATATCTAGATATTTTAGATTGCTGGAAAGAATCTCATTTGTTGTTTTGCTTACTACCTTCCTGATGTCTGCTGTAGAACTATACACTAAAATTTTGTTTCACTCTTCTTAATTATTACCAGATCTATTTGTTGCATTATAGTAAAATAAAATGAATCATAGGACTCTTTTAGGAATGCAAAATTACAGAGTTTTTTTAAGCAAACATTATAACAATATATATGACAGTATTCCGTTTGGAGGCTCAAGTGTGAAGCCATTGGATTCTGAAAGGGGGTGCTTCTTGTTTTGGTTGAAGATCAGTTGTTTTTATTTCATTCACACCTGTATGTGAGCTGATAGGATTTGCTGGATTTGGCAAACAATGAGCTGTGGGCTGGGAGCTGCTGTTTAGAGTCAACCAGGACCTGGTGGGCAAGCCCGATATTTAAAAGGCAGTTGGGCTCTCAGGTGGTCCTGGTGTTAGTCATGTTGGGAGTAAATCTTCTTTTAAGTGGTATACCACTGGTCTATCAATTTGCTGTACTGAGGTGACTTGGGGTTGCTGGACACAAAATTAAACTTGCTTAGGATTTAGCTTTACTTGGAAATTTTGGTTTGTATATCTCAGAACACTTGGTTGTTCTCATGTGAAACCTGTGCTTGGACCATGAAGAAGTCCTCTGAATAGAGAAAGGAAAGATGACATGGTGAAAAATCAGGAAAGGAGCGTGTGAGGGATATATCCTGTCTCTATACCTTTTCAGTCTATATGCATATATGCAGAACAAATCATTCAGGAGACTGGGCTTTATGAAGAGAAATGTGGCAGCATGACTGGAGAAAGACTCATCAACAACCTGTGTTACGCAGATGACACAATCTTGCTTATCAAAATGGAGGAGGACCTGAAGAAAATCAAGGACGGTAGTCCTCAATAGGGATTGAATCTCAACCACACGAAAGTTAAGATTCCCACTACTGGACCAATTAACTACATCATGATAGAGTCAGAACCAACCCATAACTGACCCTCCAGTGGGTTTTCAGAGGCTCATTATTCTCCTATGGAGTAGCTGGTGGCCTTGAACCACATGCCTTTGAGACTGCAGCACAACTCCTTGCCATTAGGCCACCGGAACTCAGACACTATGTTGGAAAATATTCTCCCATTGTTCGTAGGGTTTTGAAGGGCTCATTATTTCAGAAGTGTATAGCTGGTTCTGTTTTCTATTTTGTCTTATTATGGAAGCTGTGATGAAATTTCTTTATCATGTTGCTATACCCTGGTACTATTTGAAACACTGATACTATACTTTTCAGGTTCACGGAAACCTACAAGTCACCACTTCATGACAGAAGAGTAGTGAGTAGTTGAATTATGAAGTGATTAGTGGTTTGTTTTGTATTGTTAGTAAGATTTGTACCATGATCTTGTTAGTCTGGGTGCTGATTAAATACACTGAGAGGCTGGAATATATGAAGAAGAGTATGGAATCAGAATTAGAGGAAGAACCAGCAGTAACATGTGTTTTGAAGATGACACAACCTTTTAGGAAGCCGACTTAAAGTTCTTACTGAAAGAAGATCAAAGACTACAGCTTTCAATGTTTATTCCTCATTACCAAGAAAGCAAAAAGCCTCATCAGTAGACCACCAGTATTGACCACTATGACAAATGGAGAAAATATTTAAGTTGTTAAGGATTTCATTTTACTTGAATCCACAGTTAACACCAGCGGACAGGAATTCAAAAGACAGATTTCACTGGGAAAATCTAATATAAAAGACTCCTCATGAATTCTGAAGATAAAGATCGCAGTTGAAAGATCAAGGTGCACAAGACTAAAGCTGTAGTATTTCCAGTTGTTTTTCATGCATATGAAAGTTGGACAATGAATAAAGAACACTAAGGAGAAATTTATGTCTTTAGTCTTGAGTGAACTACTCAAAGAACCAAGAAATCTTTCTTGGAGGCTGTGTAACTAGGATATTCCTTAGCACCAAGCGTTGTCTCACATACTTTGCCATGAAGGATGGGACTTCAGGAAGTAAAAACAACAAAAACTAACACAACATCATACTGAGAAAGGAAGAGCATTAATGGAAGCATGAAAGACCCTCAGTAACATGTACCAGCAGTGACTGTAACAATGAGCTTGTGCATGACACAGACCAGGGCAAAGTTTTGATCTATTGTCTGTAGGGTTTACATGAGTCAGAGAGCACTCGAAGGCCCCTGACAACAATTTTAACTTATTGCCTCACACTTACATACAATGAAAGGAGCCACCAATGTAGAAAATTAGTTTCATTAAAAATATACAGGGTTTTTTGGTTGTTTTTTTCTTTTTGAAGATTATATTAGTATTTGTGGAGGATCACTTTTATTTGATTTCTTTTTTTTTATTTGATTTCTAATCAAGATGTTACCATAGTATTGAGCAAATCATGATTTTGTGTTTGCAAAAGGAAACTATATAGAATATGAAAGATTATAGATATTAAAACTACTTTAGATGTGTGCTTTTAGTTTTCAGTCTAAAGATAAAAGTTTTCTCTGTTTAATAGTTGTAATTTACCTATTGATTTGCGTTCCTCTTATGGTCAGATATACATTGTTGTTGTTATTTTTGTTGTGTACTGACAACTCCTCAATGAACCAAAATAGACATTCTTCTGGTACTCCTGGAAATCCCAGAACACTTGAATGTGCTAATGTGAAACCTATACTTGGAAGAGTAGGCAGTTGTCAGAACAGAGCAGGGAAAAACTGCATGGTTCAAAATTGGGAAAGGTATATGCCAGTGCTGTATCCTGTCTCTATACCTTTTTAGTCTTTATGCAGAACAGATTATCCGGTAAGCTGGTCTCTGTGATGAGAATTGTGGCATCAGGTTTGGAGGAAGAATCATCAACAATCTGCGTTATGCACATGACACAACCCTGCTTGCTGAAACTGAAGAGGACCTGAAGCATTTGCTGTGGAAGATCAGGGACTGCAGTCTTCAGTATGGTTTGAGTCTCAATATCAAGAAAACAAAGATTCTCACCACTGGGCCGATTGGCAGCATCACAGTGGATGGTGAAGAAGAGATTGAGATTGTTCACAGTTTTGGTTTGCTTGGCTTCACAATCAACACTCTTGGCATCAGCAGCCAGGAAATGAAAAGACATATTGTGATGGGAAAGTCTGCAGTTAGAGACCTCTCTAAAGTACTAAAGTGCAAGGATGTAACTCTGGAGACTAAGGTGCACCTGATACATGCCATGGTCTTTATAATCACTTGCTATGCATCAGAGAGCTGGACAATGACTAGGGCTGATAGAAAGAGAATTGATGCCTTTGAGCTGTGGTTTTGGAGAAGAGTATTGAATATACAATGGACTGCTAAGAAAATGAACAGATTTGTCCTGCAGAGGGTGAAGCCAAGGCTACTCCTTGGAGGCAAGGATTCTGAAGCTTTGCCTGACATACTTTGGACATGTTGCAAGGAGGGACCAGTACTTGGAGAGGGACGTCATGCTTGAGAGGGTGGAGGGACGGCACAGGAGAGGAAGACCCTCGATGAGATGGATTGATTCAGTGACTGGGGTAATGGGAGTAGGTGTGTCAGAGATAGTGAGATTGGCACGGGATAGGGAAACGTTTAGGGCTGTTGTATATAGGGTTGCTATGAGTCTCAGGCGACTCAATGGTACATAACAACAACAACAACTACTGTCAACTCAGAACCTACCCATAGCTAACCCTTCAGCGTGTTTTCAGAGTCATTAAATCACATGGAAAATTGTCCATTTTCTCCTGTGGAGTAGCTAGCTGTTGGATTCCAAATACATACCTTTGCACTGGCAGCACGATTCCTTACTGTGACAGAATTTCTCATTGCTTGAAGTCAGAACCAACTTCTAGTGGGTTTTTAGAGGCTCATATGGGAGGAGATTGCCATATTTCTCCCACTGAGTGGCTGAGTTGCTGCCTTTGGATTAGAAGTGTGAGTCCCTACAGACTAGTGCATAGGGTTCCATGACAAAAATTACAGGTATGACATCTTTAATGAAAGATGTTTAATTCTCTGCCCTACTCTTTCAAGGTGTAATTTTTATTTTATTTTCATAGGCTATGGTTATAGTGGAGTTTCAAATAATCATATGCATTTAAAAATTGAATTGTCAACAGAATATCAAGGAAATTCTGAGAAATTAATAAAGGTAAGTTTCCAAAATTTAACTGAAAATGTTCAACAAAGCATTTATAATCTGTCTTTTCTTCTTGATAGTTAATGAGGAGTAATTCACTGATTTAAAAAAAATTAATATAAAGCATATTTTGTTTTCTCTCTCATGTAACATAAACTACTCAAATATAAATATTTAAAGATATGTTAAATAGTAATATGAATCACTAAGAAATTTCAAGTCAATGGACATTAAACAGAAACATGAGAAGTTTTTTTCTTAACTGAGTTAAATAATGTATGTCCTTTAGTATTTAATATAGTTTTTTATTGGTTTGCATATAGTCATTCACATAGATGGTTTCATTCATGTACATTGTGTTTTAGATAAGCATTAATATGCATTGTGTTTCATTTATATTGTTTTATATAATCATACATGTACACTGTGTTTTACATTATTAATTACTATTGATCTATGTCTGTTGTCACTCCATCTCTTCAAGTCCCCATTGCATCTTTTTTAAAAATTAATTTTGATTACAGTTTACAGAGACTTAAGGTTTCCATTCATTAATTGTTGCACTTTTCTCCCTGCCCACCCCTTCCCCTCAATTCACTCTTCTTTAAAAGTAAAAGAAAAACGAATTCTTATGCAGTCCCTCCCCCAAAGTCCACTCCACTGTGCAGCCTTCATTCTGGACTCTTGACATGACAATAATACCCAATCACATGTCCGTTTTAAACAGTTCTCTCCCTCATCTATTTCAGTGCAACAATCATCGTTCCTCCCCTCCTTCTCTGTCTACCCTCAACCTCTATGTCAGTCTCATTTCACAGCAATGGTCCTATGCAATATATGTCCTTTTGTGACTGAGCTATTTCACTCAGCATGCTTTCCTCCAGGGTTACCCATTTTGCACACTATTTCATGAGTTCCTTGGTTTTCAATGCTGCATAGTATTTCATTGGTGAATATACCACAGCTTCTCTATCCATTCGTTTGTTGATAGGCTCTTGGTTTGTTTCCAGCTCTTTGCTATTGCCAACAAAGCCACAGTAAACATGCGTGTGCATATATCTGCTTGGGTGATGGTTATGGTTTCTTTTTGGGTAAATTCTCAGTAGTGGAATTGCTGGGTCAAATGGTACTTTTATTTGTAACTTTTCGAGAAAGTGCCATAAAGCCTTCTAAGTGGTTGCACCACTCCACGCTGCCACCAACAGTGAATAAAGGTTCCAGTTTCTCTGCAACCTCGCCAGCATTTGATGTTTGCTGTTCTCTTAAATTTTGCTGTTCTTACTGGGGTGAGATGTTATGTCGTAGTTGTTTTCCCATTGCATCTTTTTCATACCTTCATCTCTCACCCTCATCTACTCACTAACATCTGCTATCCTAGTAATTGAGCATCCACTATATTCAAGCAGAGACTTTATAGAAAATGTGAATGTAGGATATTTTTTATTCTATAATAAAAGAAAAAAGTCCTTAAAATAAGACTAAAGAAGACAATGCATTTTTGTAAGTTAAAACCCTCACACTTGTACTTAAAGAAACTTTGTTTGTAGGTTCAGCTTCTTGGATTCCCTGTAGTTCTCCATGCTCTGATTTTACCCAAACTAACTCTCTACTTCATAAGAGAATTAGCATTATTTGAACACCTTTTGTCTCCATCTCATACGTACTTATTTGGGAATACATTTAGAATTTTGAATTATTGTACTGCTAGTCTATTTTAGGGCTCTCGGGCCTGGTGGAATTGTGTTTGGGAGGAACATTCTTCTCAGTGGTACAGTCCTGGTCTGTCAGTTTGCTGTACTGAGATAACTTAGGGTTGCTGTGAAACTAAACACTGTGCTACTGGTGTGTCAGCTGTCCTGTCGGTTACCCATGGTATTCAGAGGAGCTCTCAGATTAAGATAGGCTTAAATGCCAGATTGACATCCACTTCCTAAACATGCCTTTGGAAATTCTATGAACGTTAGAAAAATGACAGTTATAGAGCAGGGTTCAAATCTTTTGTTTGTAGTGTTGCTGTGAGTTGTGCTAGATTTGATAGCACTTAATAACAACACAGCAACAACACTATTGTAAGGAAGCTCTGGTGGCCTAGTGAAAGAAGCTGTGCTCAATCCCAAAGGCACGTGGTTCGAGGCCACCAGTTGCTCTGTGGGAGAAGGATGGGTAATCTTCTCCCATGCAACTAACTGCCTCTGAAAACCCACTAGAGGGTCAACTATGGATCGGTTACAACTCTGTGGTATACTACAACAACAACAACAACAACAACAACTCTGTTGCTTAAATATATTCTATCTTTCAAGCAAGAGTATGGTGGAAATCTGATTGGAAAAGTACTGATCAAACATCTATAATTGGACTTTAGGAGGGTGTTCTCTTTTTAAAATTACTGCAAATAATGACAACCTGTATACATAAATTACAACTACAATAAGGAAGACACAAATAAGAAAGAAAAGAACACATTAGTAGAAATCTAATGATTGAGTATCCAGCAGTTTAAATTATTATTGTGGACAAATGACAGAAAAAGAATTGATGCATTTGAGTAGTGGTGCTGGAGAGCACTGAATGTACCATGGACTGCAAAGATAACTAACAGTTATGTCTTGAAGAGTGTGAAACCAAGCTACTCCTTGGGGGCAAGGATTTGGAGGGTCCACCTTATATATTTTGTGCATGTTGCAAAGAGGGACCAATCCTTGGAGAAGGATATCATGCTTGGAAAGGTTGGAAGGATAGTCAGTGTAGGAAAGGAAGGCCCTGGATGAGATCGATAAACAGTAACTGGGGCAGTGAGGGTAGGTGTTTGAGAGACAGAGATTGGCTCAGGATAGAGCAGAGTTGAGAGCTATTATGCCATAGGGTCCCTATGAATCATAAACAATTACTGATATGAATGGCACATAACAACAACAACAGCATTAGAAATTAATAAACGTTCTGAAAAACATTAAGGCAGAAAATAAAATACAGTGTTTTTGCTGTATAAAACATTTCTATAAAAGGAATAATTAACAATGCCTGAGAAGATTTGTGTTTAAAAGTTCTTTAGCTACAATTTCAGGTATATTGATAGAAATATTCTTTTATTAAATTTATAGCTTTCTTCTCCTTTGGGCTTATTAAGATTATTGGTATTCCTTTAAATTCTTAGATGTTATCTGAAATAGAAAAGGAAGAATTTCTGAGAAGTAAAACCCATTGTGCCATTCTTGATTCTGGTCCAGAGCCTTTTTCTCATGATTCACCTGTGGATGAGTATGATTTCCCAGGTAGGTAATAATTCCTTAATATTTGGCAATTTTTATGGGATTTACCTTCATTAATTTAAAAGAAAGGTCCCTAGGTCATACAAATGATTGCATTTGTTTACTAACCTAAATATTACTAGTGCAAGCCCATACAGAAGTCTTGCAGAAGAAAGATCTGGCAATCTATTTTGGCACAGAATGTAGCTGAAATCTTTGGAACATGTTTACTCTGTAACACATGAGGTTACAATGATTCCCAATGAAACTGAAAGCAACACATTTAATTTTTAGTTTTATCTGAAAACAAAGTTGGACAATAAGAGGGGTTTGGGAGCTGCTTTCCCCTCCCCTTCCCTGTATAGTAACAAGTTAGAGTAATCACTTTTTACTAAAATATGCAGTATCCTGGTGGCACAGATTGCTCACTTGAAGATGATTGTCACAGGGTATGTTAAGCAGATACTTGCTGTGCATGCTTGCCACAATAGCAACAGGGGTAGGAAGGGGGAAAGAATCTGCTTATTAGTGGACTTGTGCAGTTCAAAACTATCTTGTTCAAGGACCAACTGAACATGTTTTATAGTTTTCATCATGCCTCATAAATAGATTGAGAATTATTTTTGAAAATTCCTAAATTTATAATGGACAACATATGCTGTAGTGTAGTGTTTAAATCTCTGACTACAAACTTAAAGATTGAAGTTTCAAACCTATTAGTTGTTCCAAAGGAGAAAGATATGACAATATGCTTCCCTATATATTTCAGTCTGAAAAACCTTGGAAACAGTTCTGTTCACTCCAATCTGGTCTCTCTGTTGTTGTTGTCGTTGATTGTCATCAAGTTGAGCATGACTCATAGCAACCCTATGAATAGAAGGCCTGAAGCCTTTCTATAACTGTCGTCACTTATCTAAGTTGATAGAGTTTCCAGAAGCATGTGGTTTAGGAAGTAAATGTCAGTCCTGCTTCCAAACCTTTCTAAAACTGGGAGTCCACCAAACACTGTCTAAACTGTGTAACCGTTACGGCATTTGACACCCAGCTATCATAAAATTCAGCATCACAGCAACCCCAGGTTGCATCAGTACAGCAAATTGACAGAAGAGTGGTGTACAACTGAGAAGAATGTTTCTCCAAATAAAATAACACTATTTTTAATTTATTTTTTATTCCTCAAGTAAACATTCACATGTACATATAATGTTATTTTGTTGTTGTTGTTGCTGTTGTAGTTGTGTGTCATTGAGTTGACCATGACTCACGGTGACCCTGGGAGCTCTGGTAGCCTAGTGGCAAGAAGCTGTTTTGTAATCCCAAAGGCACGTGGTTCAAGCCCACCAGCTGCCCCGTAGAAGAAGGATGGTCAATCACTTCCCAAATAATTAACTGCCTCTGAAAACCTACTCAAGGGTCAACTCTGGGTCGGTTTTAACTCTGTGGTACACAACAACAACATAACAACCCTATGCCCAGTAGCTCTGAACTTTGCTCTATTCTGAGCCAATCTCAATGTCTCTGACACGCATACACTTATTACACCAGTTACTTCATTAACACATCTCATCCAGGGTTTTCATATCCTGCACTGTCCCTCCAGCCTCCCAAGCATGATATCCTCTCCAAGGACTGGTTCCTCCTGGCAACATGCCCAAGTGTGTGAGACAAAACCTCACAATCCTTGCCTCCAAGTTACAGCTTGGTTTTACCCTTTCCAAGATGGATGTATCTGTTAATTAGTTCTCTTTGCAGTCCATGAACCTCACTGAAACTGTTAACAATCTCAGTCTGTTCTCCATCATGGTGTTGTCGGTTGGCCCAGTGGTGAGAATCTTCATTTTCTTGGTGTTTATCATCAATTCATATTGTAGACTACAATCCTTGAACCTCTGTAGCAAATGCTTCAGACCCTCCAGTTTCACAAGTGAGGTTGTGTCATTTCTATAACTCAGGTTGTTCATGAGTCTTTTTCTGATCCTGATGCCACATTTTTCATAAAGTCTATTCTCTCCTCATAAAGTCCAACAGAAATGATCTGTTCTGCATACAAATTGAAAAGGTATAGAGATATGATGCATCCCTGACACACTTCTTTCCTGATTTTGAAACATCCAGTGTTTCCTTGCTCTGTTCTGAGGACTGCCAAGAGTTTTAAAATTATAGTCCAAGTATAGATTTCATGTGAAACTAATCAGGTGTTCTGGGATTCCTATACTTCTCAAGGTTAGTTACAATTTGTTGTGATCCATACAATCAAATGCCTTTGCGTAGTCAATGAAATACAGCTAGACGTTCCTGTGACATTGGCGATGATGTCCCTAGTGTCATGGCCTCTTCTAAAACTGCCTAGTATTTCTGATAGTACTCTGTCGATGTACTATTGTTTGTGGAATATTTTAATATTATTTTGTGTGACTTCATTTACTCGTATTTAATTTCCATGTCCATTGCCTGAAATGAAACTTTTATTTGTACTTGTATGTCTGTTTTTTTCTTTTTGCATATTTTTACTTTTACTTTGGTAACATGTTGGTATTTTTCTTTATTTTAAAAGGGATTATTTACTTTAAGTTGGGTCAGGTTTTATAGATGTGATTTTGAGAGTACTGCTTTTCTCTCAGATACAGATGATACTGGTATAAATTTTGATTATACTGAAGTGGAGGAAAAGTGTAGGCAGTCTTTTGAAGCATGGCAAGATAAGCAGAAAGAATTAGAAGATCAAGAGAAAGAAATCCTTAAAGCTCAGAAGGGTGAAGCAGAAAAGCTATTTCAGGAAGAAGAAGAGAAGAGACATTGTTGGGTAAAACAATTTGAAGTAGAAAAGAAGAAATTAGAGACTCTTCAAAAGGTAAATTTTCTTTTATAATTTCAGAATTTTGTTCCTTAAATATTTTGAAAAATGTTAATATTATGTTTATTTTTGAGCTATATTTTTATTAGTTTTATTATTTTCTAATTTAGGTTACAGTGTGAATTGAGCTTCTGTAACTTAATTACATCTACTGGGGATTTATGTAAATTATGGGATATATTTATAATTATAAATCTGGCCTGTCCACTTGCTGTACAGAGAGGAAACTAGTGGTTTCCGTGAAGCTCAACACTGTGACACTCATGAGTCAAATGCAATAATGGTTACCCATGGTGGAAAATGTTTTGTGGAGCTCTCGAATCAAAATAAGTTGGAAGCAGGAGTGGCATCCACTTCCAAAATGACTTGCCTCTGGAAACCCTATGAACCTGGAAAAAGGACAAAAGTTATACATGTGTCTAGGTCTTTCATTCATAGAGTCATTTTTAGTTGCCTACGACTCAACTGCACTTAACAACAATAATATGGATTTCATTATGTCTTAACAATGGCTAATATTCATATTTAATAGGAACTCCTTGATGAGTTTTCATTTAAATCCATTGGAATTAAAAACCACTGCTTTGAATTAAGGCAGCCAAATGGTGTCAAACATGGGGAATTGTGCTGCTAATTCAAAGGCTGCACCTCTCTGGTGATTCAAATTCATGAGCATCTTCTAAGGAGACGGGTGGACACTTTACTCCCATGCAATTTAAAGTCTCACAAATATGATCAAGGGTCAACAAAGAGTCAGTTTTGACTTAACAGCAATGATGGGGGGGATAATGTTTTATTTTTCTTCTCACATACCAGATTGATGTGACCATGTCCAGAAGTCACATTTTGTGTTTTGTTTTTGAGTTTTTTGTTTTAAGTTTCCACTCAGGAATATTCTATATGTATCGTGCAGGTAGTTTGAATAGTGTTTGCTGACTTGTAATAAAATGCATCGTACTATTTCATGTTTGTACTGTTTTTATATTTAGGAAACATTTGATTTTTTTTTATTACACTCTTTTTTCATTTTTGTTCTTTTAATTTTTCAAGCAAATTTTACTGTTGGCTTCAAATGCAAAGTTTGCCATCATTGTCTCAAGGAGTAACTTAGTTTCACTTTCTCTGAGAGATACTTGTTTGCTATTTTGGCAGTCAGTGGAATATTCAGTACTTTGTCTCACATACGTTGGGAATGCTGTTTGGAGGTGCCAGTATTTGGAAAAAGACATCATACTTGGAATGGTGAAGGGTCAGTGTAAGAGAGGAAGACTCTCAACAAGATGGATTGATACAATAAAAGTAACAATGAGATCAAGCATATCAGAGATGCTGGGGCTAGTTTAGGGGAAGGTCAGGGTTCAGATCTGTTGTTCATAGAATCACTGTAAGATCATCCTAGGAATAGGTTTGAGGCATTGAAGACCAATGATTAAAAAACAGATGAGTTGTGGGATGATATCAAAGATATCATCTGTGAAGAATGGAAAAGGTCTTTACAAAAACATAAGAGAAAGAAAAAAATTGAAATGGATTTCAGAAGAGACTTTAAAGATTACACTGGAACACTGAAAAGCCAAAACAAAAGGAAAATATGTACGGGAAAAAAGAGCTGAAAAGAAGATTTCAAAGGGGAGTTTGGGAGGACAAAAGAGCTGAAAGGAGATTTTAAAGGGCAGTTCGGGAGGACAAAGGAAAGTATTATAATGGAATGTGCAGAGAGCTAGAATTGGAAAATAGAAAGGGAAGAACTCATTCTGCATTTCTCATATGGAGAGAATTGAAAACCAAATTTAAGCCTCAAGTTCCAAGATTGAAAGTTGCCATGGACAATATATTGAATGATTCGGAAAGCATCAAGAGAAGATGGAGGGAATATACAGAGTCACTGTGCTAGAAAGAACTGATTAACACGAAAAAATTTTAGTAAGTGCCATGTGAACAGAAGCCAATGGTAATTAAAGAGGAAGCGGAAGCTGCATTGAAGGTATTGGCAAAAAACAAAGCCCAGGAATCAGTGAGATACCAATTGACTTGTTTCAGTTAACAGATGCAGTTTTGGATGTGCTTACTTGTGTTTGCCAGGAAATTTAGAAGATAATTGTCTGGCCAATAGATTGGAAAAGGTACATATTTGTTCCCATTCCCAAGAAGGGAATGGGATTAATGAACAGAACATGGCATTAGTAATACATGCAAACAAAAAGATGCTTAATATCATTCAAAAGTGGTTGGAACAATACATAGGTAGGAAACTGCCACAAGTTCAAGCAGGATTTAGAAGAGGCTGTGGCACCAAGTACATCATTGCTGATGTCAGATGGATCCTGGTTGAAAGTAAAACAAATACCAGAAGAATGTCTATTTGTGCTTTATTGACTATGCAAAGGAATTAGACTTTGTGGATCCTAACAAGTTGTGGTTGATATGGAGAAGAATGGGAGTCTCAGGGCACTTAATTGGGCTCATGCAGAACCGATACATGCACCTGAAGGCTGTTGTGCAAAAAGATCAGGGGAACATTGTATGATTTAAAATGAAGGAGTGTGCTAGGGTTGTATTCTCTTTCCATATCTATTTAACCTGTATATTGTTGTGTACCTTAGAGTCAGAACTCACTCATAGCTGACACTCCAGTAGGTTTACACAGGCAGTTAATTGCATGGTAGGAGTTTGCCCCTCCTTGTCCTGAGGAACATCTGTTGGCCTCCAACTGTTTACCTTTGGTTTTACCAAAGGTTGATTTCCTACTTTCACCAAATGTTGGCTTTTTATTCCTCTGCTTTATATTTTAGCCTCTTAACAATTTATCTGCATTTTCATATATATTGATGCACTCTTCACCGCTCCCTCTTTTATTATTGTTTATATGCACGGTCAATTTTCTCTCTTACTGAAAACAAAAAAAAAAAAAGGAAAAACTTTAAGACTCCCCCAGCGCTTGTGTTTCATTTGGCTGCTTTTTTAGCTCTATCATAATCAGGCTTCTTAAAAAGTAATTTATTTTGTTATATCCATTTTCTCACCTCCTAGTCAATTTTACTCTATTCCAGCACTATCTTCTCAGTGTAAGAAAGTTATTAACAGAAATGGAAAAATATTTCCAATTACTTTTTGTTTATTGTTGCTATAATAGAAATATTACAAGTGAGTGACTTCACTGATTGTTGTTAGAAATTCTAATAAGGACACCAGCTCTAGGCAAAGACTTGCTCTGTCCACACTCTAGGAATAATCTGGTCTAAGTTTTCTCAGTGTTGCTCTTGATGTTTGTTGATAATCAGTTATAGTGTCCAGTAGTATATCTTGCCGTTAACTATGTGTGTAGATACAAATAAAATAGCTTTTCTCTATTCCATTTGGAGTTCTGGTGGCCTCGTGGCTAAAAGCTGCCTTTGAGTCCACCTGATGTTACATGAGAAAACAACAGGTACTCGCTAGAGGGTCAGCTCTGGTGAGTCCGACTCAATAGTACTCAACAACTGTACCACCACCACCACCATATTTATGTGCTCAGAATAGAGACCCCAGCTAACATTGGGTTGTGGGATTTTTTACACTGTAGATTTAAATTGTCCTAAAACTAATAACAACAAATCATTAGATGTGTTTTTATTGTTAGGTATTACTTACAAATATGCTACGAGAGTCATATATCACAAAGGGGTTTTTTTATAAATGTGTTTTACAGCATTTAAATATTGTTTGTTCAGCAACAACAGGACAAGATGAATGATGAACTACATCAAGAAGAAAAAATATGGGAAGAGAAATTTAAACAACATGAGGTAGTTATTTGTTGTATTTAATCAGAGTATTGATCAGATTTTTTTTCCAAATAAATTATGTCCCTGAAGTAGACACCTTAATATAATTTAGGTTGTAGATTTAAAAGCTTACTAATGATCAAAATCTTTCCATTAAGTATAATACTTTGTGAATAAATATATACTGGCTCACCGAGTAACACATGCATTTAAAATTCTACTTGTAGTATTTGTTTTTAAGGTTTGAATTAAAACATTTTTAATTTTATATTATATTAATACAAAAGTAGTATACCTTGTGTTTAAACAATCCTTCATTCACGTTGTATTTCCCGTTTATTGTGTCATGTAAAACCAGTCACCATTGAACTGTGCCCACCACTACCCTGTCATTTCACATCCCATTTTTTAACATTTTAATATGGTTAAAGATTATGTTATGAAAGATTACTTCCTGTCTTGATGACAATTAATGAATGATGTTAAATAAACCCTTTGAATTTAAGATGATTTTGATGATATATATTTTAAGTTTTTTACTTTATACACCATTTTAATGTGAAATTGTTTTCATTAATTAGAATAATAGTATAAAAAATCTTCCATAATCTCCCAAATATTTACTGAATTGTATTAGACTGTTTACATTTGTTTCAGAACTTAAGTGAGATGATACTTATATGAGCTAATAAAATTAAATTTAATTATTTTAGGAATTTATTAGGAACTTGCAAATACAAATAGAAGAGGAAAGAACAAAATTTAAAGAGCTACAAGAAAAAGAAAAAAATCATTTGTTAAAACTACAACATAATGCAGCCATACAAATCCAAGCCAATTACAAAGCATTTGTAGCTTATAAAAAATATAATCCAATCATAAAAGAACAAGTAGAAAACAAGAAAAAGAAAGCACAAGAGTGGAAAGAAAGGGAAGCAAAAATCCGGCAGAGGGAAGAAGAAAAACGAAGACGACTAGAAGAGGAACAAAGGATAGAAGAAGAGGAAAAAAAACGAAAAGAATACGAACTCAGGAAGAGAAGAAAAGAATATGAAGAAAAAAAGAACATTCTAAGACGAGAAAGAGAACAAGAATTTTTGAAGGAAAAATTAAGAACCAGAGAAAGTGCGCATAAAGCACTAACAAGAAATACATTAAATATAGGAGACTCTAATAGCAAACACTTACCTGTTGAGGATACATCAAAGAGTAAAGACGATATAGCCAAAGAACTATTGAGAAAGAAATTAAAGGAGGAGGAGGAAGATATTCCTCTTTGGCTAATAATAGATGAAAATTTAAATATGATGGAGAATGTAGGTACATCACACACATTGAAAGAATCAATGGAAGAATGTTTAAAAGAACGTGTATCAAACCAAGCGATTTTGGCAGACTTAAAAGAGGAAGAAAAAAAGGAAAATCTAACAGTACAACAATATCCAGAAAGTTTGTTCAATTTGCAAAGGATATGTGAAAATAGAGAAAATCACATTGAATTGGTAAGCCGAGATCTAAAAGAAAATGAAAAAGAGCATTTTAAGTTACATGAATTAAAATATCAACTGCAAACAGAGGTGAAATTAAAACATGCCATAGATAAGAATGTGAAAGAAGAAACCCAAATCATAATTCTAGAACATGATCAAGAAGTTCATGAAACAAAAAACAATGACGTACAGAAACTAATAAAAAATAATAAACAGGAAAATGAAAAACATGAAGTAGAAAGAGAAAACATACTAGAATGGAATGGATCATTATATAAAGAGAATCCAATTATTTCAATGACTCAAAATCCATTACCCCCAGAATTAGGCAATTCTGAAAATTTAGGAATACATGTAGTCCTACAAGAAGGAGCTGATTTAAAATTTAGTGAAATTGAGAAGAATTCAAAAGACAGTGCTCTGAATAATGATATTGTGGTTTATAATAACAATGCTACCATAATAAATACAGAAAACAAAATAAACAATAATGATATTATCTTGGATAAGCAAGTTCTTTGTGAAAACTCAGGTGACCATAATGCAAAAAGCTCCTTGGTTTCTAAAGAAACACATTCTGTTAAATCTGAGATTAAAGAAATTCTGGAAAATTGCAATGAGAATATATTGGAAGGTAATGTGGCCTGCTCTCTGTCAGAGCTGACTATTCAATCTGCTATTGAAGAAAAGAGGCTAGCTTGGATAAATTCATCTAAATCCTGGTTTGAAACTATCAAGAAGCATCAACAAAAGAAAATAATTAGGAAAAAGAGATCTGGGAAATACCCCATCAATACCATACCACCTTTGAAAGCACAAGAAATTCTTCAGTGTGGCCCTTGGAATACATTACAGCAGGTATTTATTTCAAGTTTTTCTTGTATTTAGTTGTAATTGATTATCTAGTGTATATAACCTTTCTATTTGTAATAGAAGACATCTTTTGTATGCAACTCTCTTATTGTCTAATAACCCATTTGAGAGAAAGCATTTCAATTCAAGACATTTTCTCCCTCAGTCTTCTTGTCAGAACCAATGCATGACTGACCCTCCATTGGGTTTCTAAGATTTTGTAAACTTCCTGGGAAGTGATTGCCTGTTTTTGTGTTTTGTTTTGTTTTGTTTGCCTTCAGGAGACACTGGTAGATTTGGACCACCTAGGAGACTTTACCTTTGGGTTATTGGTACAATTTCCTATAGACTATGCTACGGAGCTTTATCTTTTTATATTATCCCAACACCTGTGTTCAAAGACCTTGTCATAAAGCCAAACTAAACCCACTTTTATTGAGCCAATTCTGGAATGAAGAGCCGTATCAATGATTAAGACAAGTCAAGGGGTGCTGGAATTTAGAGTGGGATAGAAGAAGAGAACAGGACTTGACATTCAGTTCACCTACTCACTCATTACCATAAAATTAGTTCCAACTCATAGCTGAATTTCTATTGGGTTTCAAAGACTGTAAATTGCATGAGAAGAGACTAACCATCCTTCTCCCTTGGAGCACATGATGGCTTTGACTCTCTAGAGAAGCGATTGCTTTAGAATTTAGCCAGCAAAAACATCTAGTGATTCTTTCTGAGGGGTAGAAGGCCACATGTTGCAAAAGAAAGACTTTTAAGGAAAGAAGACCCTAGATTTTTACCATTGTTGTTGTTGTTTACCGTTGAGTTGGGACTGACCCATAGCTGACCCTTCAGCAGATTTTCAATTTCACAGAAGATGGCACATCCTTCTCCCATTGAGGAGCTGGTAGCCATCACACCATGTGCACCATGTGTGATGTCAACACAGCTTCTTAGCACTATGTAACTGTTCATAGAGAGCTCTGGTGGCATAGTGGTGAGGACCTGTACTGCCAAACCAAAGGCACATCATTAAAATCCACAAGCTGCTCCAAGGGACAAAGACGGGCAGTCTCTTCCTGTGTCTTTTACTGCCTCTGAAAACCCACTGGAAGGTCTACTGTGGTCAGTTTTGACTCAACAACGATGGCGACAGAATATTATAATTTGGGTTGAAACTGTGGTGTCAATAGAACACTAGCTGAATTTGCTAATAACCATTTCAACACCCTTTTGTGACTAAGAAATTGTTAATTGTTGTTGTTGTTGTTATTAAGTACCATAAAATCAGGACCAACTTATAATTGAGCCTGCAGTGGGTTTTCATACACAGTCAATAGCCTTGGAGAAGATTGCCTGTCTCTCTCCCCCAGAACATCTGGTTGATTCAAACTGGACAGCACTGAGTTGGCAGGACAGTTCCTTGCTACTAAGCCAACATATATGTGCTGCCAAACAGAGCACAATGACATTAGTTACCTACTATTTTATTTACTGTAATTTTACTTATGAATATTTGGGTTGAGTAATAGTGGGGAATAAAATGGACCAAAATGCACAGTTGTGCTGTTGATTCGGGCCTATAGAGAGTTACTTCCTTTGGAGTTTCTGAGGTTGCAGATCTTTATGTTCTTATTGTTATGTCCTCTCCAGTTGAATATGACTCATAGCGACCCTTATGCACAACAGATCTGAACCATGTCCTATCATGTGCAATCCTCACACTTCTTGACACACAATGCAGCAGTCAACCATGTCAGTCCATCTGGTTGAGGATCTTCCTCTCTCTCTTGCTGAACAGCCACCTTTCCAAACATGATGATCCTCTCCAAGGAAGAGCCTGCTCTAGCCACAGGCCTGAAGTGTGTGAGATAAAACTTGATTATCTTTCTTCAACGGAACACTATCACTGCACTTTCTCCAAGATATATTTCTATTTATTGGAGGATGAAATGTGTGTCTTTTTTCCTGTGTGGACTGCTGGTGAATTTTACATTTAATATTGCTTTTGTGCATTTAAGGGAGAGTTGATGGCATAAAGGACAGGGAGTTGCACAGCTTGCCCCTCCTGTGGTTCAGTTCACTTCTGTGCACTTAAGGGAGCTTCGGTAGCATGATGGACAGGGAATTCGACAAGTTACCCCTCTCTTGTGTTTCAATTCCACTAGCTTCTCCGTGAGGGAAAGATAGGGAATCTCTTTTAATATGTTTTACAACCTGAGAAATCTCAGTGGAGTGTCAGCTATGAGTCTGTTCTAATTCAACAACACTGCATTGAGTTCTGTGCATTTTACTTTTAAACATGTTTATTGACAGTAGCATTATTTTGCCTTTAATATGGGGAGCAAAAGAATCCAGAGAATTTTAATTTAGTTGCTTATAAATACAAGTCTCAACATACAAAATTATTTTCCTTAGTTGAATTATTAAAAAAACATGTAAGGTTGATAATATAAGCTATGTTCAGTATAGTGAGATAATGTTATACTTCTAATCTTCTTCAATTTCTTTAGGTTACAAAAGTTAGCTTTCAAGATTTACCAGATTGTGGTCTGTCTACACTGACAGAATGCACAAATCTTCAATTTTTGAGTCTCCGACGTTGTGGATTAACTTGTCTACATAGCCTGAATAACTGCAAAAAACTAAGGTACATTGATGTTCAGGTATGTTTTTCATTCTACTCATTTATATCTTAATGAGATGTCAGTAGTTGATGTCTATATTAAAGACATGACTGTTTGGGAGAAACATATAGTAAAATAACCTATAATCCAGATTCTAAAAGACAGAGGCCTAGCTTTGTAAGAACCATAGTGGGAAGTTGATTAGATGGTATGAACTGAAAATTATATATCTCTTCAGATTATATCATTATTATTCTTATGACTTTTTGCTGCATGAAAATCAATCCCATTACTTAGTAGCTTAAAACCATAATCATCTTACTTATTACTCTTTGTCATGAACTCAAGTCAGTGTTAGTCAAATAGTTCTTCATTACAAATTATAGAGAGTAATTGAGTGAAATACTCAAAATAGTTTGAGCTCTAATCTGGTGCCCTAGCAGAAATGACAAGGAGATTGGAATGAATCTTCTTGCCTTTCTTTGTCTCTCTTCTCTCTGATTCTGGGGTGACTTTCTATATAATGACCAACAGCTAGTATGAGCGTTCCAAAAGTGAAAGATACAACATTCAAGTACAATATCAAGTAGCTACATGTACCATTCTGGCTAATGTATTGTTTGCCAAGTTTAGAATTAAGGTGGAAAGAGACTATTTGTTTGTATGAAGAATGGCCTGCAGGATTTATTTGACGTTTTTCAGACACACTTCAATACAAAGACCTAGGGACCTACTTTCAGAAGATCACTGCTATTGATAATGAATACTATGTTGGAACAGATGAAGGAAAGAACTGTTTAAAAGGAATATATGATTAGGCATTATACATATGACAACAGCCCAGAGTAAGAGATACATTGCAAAGAGGACTGAGGGGATGGAGTTGGGGAAGGGAGGTAACAATGAATGAATATTTAAAAAAAAAGTGAACCCGGGGGGTGGTGTGTAAGAAGTGCAATAATGTATGAATAAAAATATAACTTTTCTGTAAACTTTAGTTAAAATAAAAAAATTACTAATTAAAAAAAAGTTACACATACACAGACTTTGGAGTACATTTCTACTCTGAAACTCATAGGATTTCCCTGAGCAGAAATCAAGTTAACAGAAACTGATTTTGCAAAAAGTGACAGTACCCAAATCTATCCTTTGCATTCTCCTGATTATGTTCTTTTGACATGCAATGTACACTCATATTTAACCTACTCTGACATCATGGTTAGCCTTGAAGGAAAGCATATTTTTTAAAATCATATATATGTAAAAATATAAATACACAAATATATACATATGATATATAAATACACACACACACACACACACACACATAGATATATATAAAGCCAATCAGTCATATTCTTGGGTAATACTTGAGTATATAGTAATTCTTGTGTGCAATTTGTTTAGGTGAAGGCTTTGCCAACTCAGTGGTCCAGGAACTGAATTGAGATAGTATTCCCTACAAACACAAACACACAGACATAGTGATGAGGCAGGGCTCAATTAACTGCCTTAGAAACAAAATGAAGGTAACAATAGAACACTAAAAGAAACTTCTTGTGCATAGCTCAACCCCTGTTGAAAATTTATTGCTAAAGACTCAGTTTACTTCCTGGGGGTAATTTTCTGACTCTTGTTTTTGCTATCTAGGTTTTGATGCCACCCTGGTAGCATAATTCCCTTTCCATTAGAAGTGTCAGATTTTGAGGCTAAGAGTTTTTTTGACCTATTTATTTTGTATATTATTTAGGGGACTTAAAATCATCTTCTTGCTTTGACATATCTGTGTTCTTTTTGGTTTGAACTGACACTTCATCCATTAATATTATTTCCTTAACTTGGTAAATTTTTTTGTTTGTTTATTCACTTACTATGTTAGTCAAGTGCTATACTGACAGATATTTTCGACACAAACTGTGGTGGGATGCCATGGGCCTATATCTTTAATATTGGGGTTTTTTTTATTTTTTTGAAATCTCACAAGGAATCTTGCTTTGCATCTTTGATATGATGTAGACCTGAGCCAAAGCCAAATATTTTGTGTTGTGAGAAAATGTGTATGTCTCTGTGTGTGTGTGTGTGTGTGTGTGTGTGTAGTAAACATAAAAACAAATGCATAAAATACAGGTTTTTTATGACACTGAATTACGGAGAGCCTGATGACAAAACAGGTTAGGGAGCTTCAATTTTTTCATTATTTAATAACTTAAACATGTAGGAACTGTGGCACAATATTCACTTTTGTTTCAGTTAGCATATTGGAAAATCAAAATAACATATTCTGTGTTTTCCCCCCTCAATTTTAAAAGGAATACTAATAAATTAAACTCTTTATTATCTCACTATTTTAATCTAGATGGTGTAACAGTTTGCATAGTTACCTTAAATATTAGAAATGTAAATATTCGTTAGGAGACCATATATATGTTTTCATCTTTCTGTAAGCTTTAAATGTTTTATTAAGAAGCTATTGCACTAAACTTATTTATATTTTATCTTTGTTTTAGGAAAATAATATCGAGACTATCAATTGTGAGAATTTAGAAGATCTCTGCATTCTTCTTCTGAATAAAAATCAACTTAATTCTTTGCATGGCTTGGATGGTTGCACTAATATTCAAAATCTTGAACTTTCATACAATAAAATCACACGAATTGGTGAGAATATGTAATTTAAATACTTAACCTTTATTTCTCATGTTAATGTTTCACCAAATTTGCTTCTGTTCCCTAATAGACCATTGAAAATTGTTTTCATATTTTATGCATGCTACAATTATTACATATTCTATTAGGATTGATTGATTGTTGTTATTGTTGTTGTTATTATTATGTGCCATCGAGTCACCTGCAACTCATAGCAACCCTATGCACAAGAGCCCTATGCCTCATTCTGTGCCGTTTTTGTTGTCTCTGACATACCTATCCTGATTACCATAGTCACTCAATCAATCCATCTCATCGAGGGTATTCCTCTCCTGCACTGTCCCTCCACCCTCCCAAACATGACATCACTCTCCAAGAACTGGTCCCACCTTGCAACATGTCCAAAGTATGTTATATGAAGCTTCAGAATTTTGCCTCCAAGGAGCAGCCTGGTTTAACCCTCTCCAGGATCCCTAGTCATTGTCCAGTTCTCTCATGCATAACAAGTGATAGCAAAGACTATGGCCTGTGTCAGGTGCACCTTAGTCTCCAGATTGACATCATTGCTCTTCAGTACTTTGGAGAGGTCTCTGACAGCAGACTTTCCAACACAATTTCAATTTCATTTCATTTAAATTTTAATTTTCTGGTTGTTTGTGCCAAGAATGTTGATTGTAAAACCAAGTAAACTAAAGCTGTTTATAACCTCAATCTCCTTCATATTTGATGGAGAGTTTTGCTAGGTATAGGATCATTGGCTGGCAATTGTTTTCTTTCAACTTTCTGTATATACCATCTCATTGTTTTCTAGCTAATATGCTTTCTGCTGAGAAATGAGATCTTAGTCTAATTGTGTCTCCTTTATAGGTGACTCTTTGTTTTTCTTGCACTGTTTTTAGTATTCTAGCTTTAGCTTTTAATCTGGAGAATGTGACAATGGTAAGTCTTGACATTTCCCTTTTTAGGTGTAGTCTAGTTGATGTTCAATGTGCTTCTTGAATATGGAGTTCTGTCATTATACCTGGGAAATTTTCTCCTAGTACTTCTTCCACAATTTTCTCAGGGACTTTCCTGTCACTCCCCTGCTCTGGAATTCTGATCATATGTTGTTCCTTTTGATGTCATCCCACATGATTGTAATGTTTTCTTCATTTTCTTTATGTTTCATCTCTGATTTTTCTTCTAGGATATTTCCAGTGAGGCTCTTGTCTTCCAGCTCACTGACTCTGTTCCATCTTTTCAGTTCTACTTTTTTGTCCCCCCAATGTGTTGCACACTTCTGCCATTTCTGTCTTAATATTCTGGATTGTATTTCGTGCTTTTCTATTATTTCCAGAACTGTATTGGCTGTACTCTCTTAGTCCTGTGATGATTTTTTGTGTGTGTGAGTTCTTGTACCTATTTATTTATACTGTAAATTCTTTCATCTTTTTTTTTTCCCATAGCTGTTAAAGTTGCCCCTCATCTATATTTTTCTTCTTAATCACTGTCTCTGGGGTATTTGGTCTCTTAATGTCTTCCATTGTTTCTTCCATCATTTGCATTTTCTTCTGTAGCTATTTGAGTCACTCCACATCAACATATTTCTTTGGTCTCTCTATCTTGGATATTCATTGGGTCTGCTATTTTAGGAGCACAGTTATTTCCCTTCCCCACCTCTGATCACTAAGGCAGACTGCTGCTTTCTTGACACTATGTGAGTCTTATTTTAGTAGATTTTAGGCTGTTGGGAGCATACAATATCCCAAGGTATTACAGTGTTTTCTGAAGGACCTGTATTTTGATTCTTCCCTCTTGGGTTACACTATCCAAAGTGGGATGACTGTTGCCCTCCATAAACCATGGCTCTACCCAGCCTCTTCTGCTTGACTTTAAGAAATCCTTTATGATATAGCTAATCAGCAGTTTTCACAGCTAAAGTGCCTAAATGTCAGAACAGAGGAATTTGTGTCCTCCAGAAACTTTGGTCTACTGAGCCTCTTCTGCTTGATCTTAAGAATTCCCATGTGATGAAACTAGATAGCGATTTTCTCATCCAAAGTACTTGACTGGCAGAACTGAGGAGTCTTTTGTCCTCCAGAAACTGCAGCTCTACCTGGCCTCTTCTGCTTGAGTGTGATGTAGCTAAACAGTAATATATACGGTTAAAGTACCTGTGGTATTTGTGTTTCTGGCACAGGATACTAGAGCAATGGCCGAGTGGTCTCATCTATTGAAAAGACATGTGCTGTGCAGTGATGCGTGTGTCCATTCATTGTTTTTTATAGAATTAATCACCATTGGATTATGCCCATCATTAACTCTCAGAAAGTATAGTTCTTCAGTACTCTGGAAAGTCAGTTTGAGGACTAAGGTGAATCTGATTCAGGCCATGGGCTTTCTGATTACTTGGCTATGCATCTGAGAGCTGGATAATGAATAAGATGACAGAAGAAGAATTGATGCCTTGGGCTTGTGGTATTGGAGATAAGCAATGAACATCCCATTGACTGCCAAAAGGACAAATAAATATGTCTTGGAAAGGGTGCAGACAGAGTGTGCTCTTTGGAGGCTGGGATGATGAGGCTTCACCTCACATACTTTGGCCATGTTGCTAGGAGGGGCTATTCCTTGGAGAGGGACATGATGCTTGAAAAGATGGGAAGTCTTCAAGAAAGAAGACCCTCAACCAGATGGATTGACATGGTGAGTGTCACAGTGGGCTCCAGTTGTCAGGAAGTGTGAAGATGAGACGGGATAGAATGGGGTTAAGATCTGCTTTTCCTAGGATCACTATTAGTTGTACTCAATTCAATGGCATCTTACAACAAACAACAATAATAATATATGTACTATGTATACACACATATGTGTACATATATGTGTACACAAACCTACACACATCTATAAATACAGGGAGTCCTGATGGCATAGTCCATAGGCAGTTGCACTACTAACCCAATGAATGCACCTCTACTTACTTTAATCTACCAACAGTTTTGTGGGAAGAAGTTGGCCATTCTTCTCCTATGTGATTTACATCATCTGAAAAGTAACTGAAGAGTCAGTTCTGAGTTGTTTCTAACTCAATAGCAATGAGTTTGAGTTTCGTGTGTGTGTGTGTGTGTGTGTGTGTGTGTATGTGTGTGTACATACTGTATGTGCATATAGTATACCTTTTGCTTAAATCTTTAGAGCTATATTTTGTACATATATGTTTGTAGCTAACTGGACATATGCATGTACTGACTGTGTGTATGTATCTACACTGTGTATATATGCATGTGTGCTGTTACGTTTGTATCTGTAATGCATATATGCGGGTATGTATACAGCATGCCTATATGTATATGTCCATATTACATGTATGTGTGTGTATTTATCTATAGTATTTGTATACGTGTGTATTCATATTATATATATATGTATACATATCGTGTATATGTATATTCTACATAGAATATATACATATACATAAATATACACATAGTACATGTGTATATCTATACTCTGTGTTTAATATATATCATTAACTCATTCACTACTATTTGAATAATTTCTGAGTTATGGTAGACCTCCATTGAGCTTTTGAGGCTGTAAGTCCTAACAGGAGGAAAATGGCAATTTTCCTACCTTGGAGCTCTCGTGGATTTAAACTGTCAAGGAAGTGTGGCTTTTAACTTAGCAGTGCAATTTTCTAGGGACTCCATCCTCAGAGCTCCCTTGTATGCGTGTTTATATGTGGATATACTCACTATTACATTCTTACACAAAGCATAGTTTGGTTTGGTTTAGTTAGTAGTAGCATTTAGCTTCCCTTCCTACATTTAATACATCATGAAGTTCATAGGACTCTTCATTATTTTGTGCTTTAGCTGCACAGTAATTCACTGTATGGATGGATCAAGTTTAATTCCACTAGTTCCCTATTAGATATTTTTTCTAATATTTCTACATTACCAAAGGGTAGTTAGGTGTGCACAGTTTCATAATTTAGCAGACACATCTTTAGATTGTATTATTAACTACTGTAATGTTAGCACTCAACTTAAAGCAACTTTATGTGTTACAAGGTATAAACGTTTCATTGGATTGTTTTAGCTTTAATTTATATGGAAATGATTTTCTAGGTTATTTTGTGGTGTACTGTTGAGTCAGAACTGACCTGAGCTGGCTATTCAGGGGTTTTGAAGTAGTAAATCACATGGAAGTTGGTTGCCCATCTTTCTCCTGTGGAACGTCTGCTTGGTTCAAACTGCGTACATTTGTGTTGGCAGCATGGTCCTTAGCATTAAGCCATCAGAGCTCCCTAAGTTCTCCTCTCAGAAATGTAACAGGTCTCTGTAGTCATGTAAATGACAGTAAGAGTGGCAGTCAATTCCTTTAAAGAAAAAGAATAATTATCTATAATTTCTATTGTAAACATTGTACAAATGAGTGAATTTCAGTAAAATGATAATTTAAAAAATTCACTCATAGCAACTTTTCTGTATGTTCTATAATTTTGTAAATAAATAATTTTCTTGAGTAAAAAAAAGTGTAATTGTACTCTCAAAGAAAGGTTTTATTTCAAGCATCCTTTGGAAAATGTGTACTATAGTGATTTCATTTGTTTGTATGACATACTGTTTTGGGACTACCTATGCAATCTCCCATTAGAACCACTAATAATTTGCATCTTTTAATTTTATTTTTAAAATAGTATAGAAATTATTTTATTGTTTTTGTAATAACGACTAGTGTAGTGAAAATATTATATCCTATATTGACCTTATATGTAAGTCAATCACATTAAAAACAAAGAAACAGCCAAAAAACCACCCACTAAAAACAGAAAAACACTGTTTGTAAGGAGAAATATTTGAGCTCACATTCATTTTTCTCTTCACTGCCAGCACTACCTTGTGGGATTTTTTATAGTTAATGGATTTCCTAGTACAGGATTTATGTGAAAACTGACATGATTTTAATTAATATACCTGAGGTATCTCTATGTAGTACAGAACAAACAAGGTAAATATTTCTTTACTATT